GCCAGGCTGAGAGAGCTGGGCTGGGGCAGCTGGAGAAGAGAAGGCTCCTCAAGGGGACACCTTAGAGCAGCTCCAGGGCCTAAAGGGGCTCCAGGAGACCTGGAGAGGGGCTTTGGACAAGGGCCTGGAGGGACAGGACAAGGGGAATGGCTTGAACCTGCCAGAGGGGAGATTGAGATGAGCTCTTGGGCAGAAGCTCTTCCCTGGGAGGGTGCTGAGGCGCTGGCACAGGGTGCCCAGAGAAGCTGTGGCTGCCCCATCCCTGGCAGTGTTCAAGGCCAGGTTGGACACAGGGGCTTGGACCAACCTGCTCTAGTGGAAGGTGTCCCTGCCCGTGGCAGGGGTTGGAACTGGATGAGCTTTAAGGTCCCTTCCAACACAAACCCTTACAAGATTCTGTGATTCTATGACTGAAGCTGAAGGGATTTAAGTACCAGGAGTGATGCTTGATCTGTCAGGAGCTGTCTGCAAAGGCAGACACAGAGATAAACTCCAGCACTAGAACATGCTAATTCATTTGGTTCACTACACTGGGAAGTGAGACTGTTCATCAGCTTGGGGGAAAAGGTGAAAGGGTTAAGGGCACACTGATAAAGCTATTGTTGACTTCCTGGTGCTAAAGTTTTAAGGGCTGTATCACACATCATCAGTGTTTTACCAAGAATAACAAAAAACTTTAAGGAAAGGGGAGCGCAAACTAACATGGAAAGTTCCACCTCTGCACAGCTTTCCTTCCATTTCCAGATCTGGGCTCAGGCTCTATTTGCTTTTTATTAAGCCCTATAAAGCAAACAGATTAGATTTACACTTAGGCTGGATGAAAAAGTGAAATCTCACCACTACTACACCTGCTTGGAGAGGGGAATTCTTGCAGCTAATAGAAGGCTCAGACAGAGGCAGTTCCCCCCACGTTTCTGCCTCTCCAGCTGGTGTCAGGTTAAAGCCATTCCCCCTTGTCTTGTCACTAAATGTCCTTGCCCAAAACCCTCTCCAGGTATCTTGTAGGCCCCCTTTAGGTATTTGAAGACTATTACAAGGTCTTCCCTGAGCCTTCTCTTCTCCAGGGTGAAGAACCCTGTTGATAGAGTTTAAGTTAGCCTACCCATAGGCAGCAAAAGGAAGGGAAGCAAATCTGAGCTACTCAGTCTCTTCCTTTTCCCTTTGCTAAGAACAAGCCAAATACAAAGGCATTTCCAGTCCGAGATAAGGAAGAGTCATTCTTGCCACCTCTCACACAAGGAGGGCTCTCAGTCCCATGCTTGCCTCTGTGCCCTGTAATTTGTCCTCTCTTTTCTAAGCTCGGTCCTCCTGTGAAGTGCTCCTCTGATGGTGTCCTGGTGTGTGAACTGCTGCCCTGAGGACTCTATGGGGGTGGTTATATTTTAGGCTATTGCAGGAAGGCAACTTGCCTTTTGATGTATATTGCAAAAAGTGCTCTATGTGGGGGCAGCCCCTTATAAATAACACCAGCAGCTCGCTTTGCACTTTGATGGAGGAAAGCACGGGTGTTTTCTTTATGGACAGGAGAGGGGGCAGGAGAAATGATGGTCTTTCCCTTCAACTAAAGTGTTGTCTCTTGCTGAAGTTAAAAGTGAGATAAACCCTTGCATCCCATCATGGGTGTTCTACATCTGTTTCCTGGTGCTTGCTGGGTGACACGCTGGTAAACAGAGATGCTCTCCTCACACAGACAGATGATCTTACTTTGCCTTTTGATTTCTCAGTGGCCCTGCACAGCCCAGCTTGCCTGAGCTCAGCAGTAACAGCTGCTGGAACACACTCTCTGACTCCAGAGATGCTGTTTTCAGGCTCTCAGATATTTCTTGCTTCTACTGAGCAGGTTTTTGGCCAATAGCTCTGTCTCGGATGTGCTGATTCCAGCTGATTCCTCAGCCTTCTATTTTACCTCCCTTACACAAGATTGCTCTGAATAAATTACCACTCTCAGGCAGAGGTGAAGCCACAAGGCACTTCTCAGAGAAGTGTTTCTATTAGAAAGCTCAGACAGTGCCACCAATGTCATTGACAAAAAGGTTAATTTATTATTGAAAGACCCTGGTTATCCATTCCTTTCTAATGTCTTGCATTGGAGTTCAGAAGAATGGGATATAAAAACGCTATTAAAAGCTGAGAATTTGCCCAGAATAGTCTTTTTTCTCCTCCATGTGAATTGCTTGTATTATGCAGAAGCTCTGACAGGCTTTAGGATGCTGTATTCTCCCCAGGTTTACGGGCAGTGGCATGTCACATTCTGACACCACCTCACTCCTTAGTGATAATGATTCCACCTCCTCTTAGAAAACGGGTTAAACTGCCAGCTCCTGCCCTCAAAAATCAGTGCTAATGTTCCTCAGTGGGTTTAGTTATAGCTACATTGGATTCCAAAACTACATGATGGACAGCCTCAGAATTTATGGAATTAACTGTGTGTTATCAAACTGGAAATACAGATGGTCTTTTCCCATTTTTCTCCAGTTTTCTCTAGAATAATGGGAGCCAAATGATTCCAGACAAGCACTGCACAGTAACTGCAGTTGATGCTGTCATACAGAGCCTGCAATGGTTTTACTGGTTCTGGAAAGTTTCAGTTCCATGTGTTGGAACACAGCAGATACAC